CAACCTAGAGAAAAAATAATCAGTAGCATTCCCTGTCTGCTGTCAGCACACCATCTTGTGCACACATGGGAGAGGCGCCATTGTTGACTACAAGGAGACTTTAGTCCCTTACAAATCCAGAGGGAGTATATTGGGATGTGGACCCTTTCACCAATCTCAATACAATCTTTAAAAAAATGGGCAAATGTCTTCATTATCCAGCATCTTTACATCAGTAAAGACCATGCCTGTCTTCTAAGTATCTTGAAAGAAACAGTTCTCTTAGTTAGGCTCATCCATATATTAACAAAGCAATGTGGAAACTGCTTCCATATGGCTTAGCTCTGGTTTGGCAACTTATTTTAGGAAGAACTATGAGGACTGAGGAACTGACATGGTTTGTTCCCACAACAGGGTCTTTGAACAACCTTAGCATAGGAAGAAGTATGTCATTGATCCAACTCACATAGTTTCTCCTACCACACTCTTTAAAACACCCAAATACCCTTCTCCCCCTGTTCTTGGAATGACTATAGCCTTTAACAATTGAATAACTGGAGATTAAGATTACAATTTCCTGAGTTGGTTATGACCTGCAGTAACCAGGAGGAGTAAAATACATATTATTGGCAGGCCAAATGTAACAAAGTCATTTTTCTTTTCTTCCTCTTTCTGGCATTTCTCAGACATATTTAGGGATTTTGCTTAATCTTTAATTAAATTCACACACACACACAACAATTGAAGGAAACATAAAGTACACACACCATATCTTCCCTCCAGTAATCGGTATAATAACTTCTATCATCCCAATCGCCTACTTATTCATGTAACCTCACTTCAATTAAATATACATTTGACATAGCAATCCCATTGTTTCAGTTTCAAACTGTCCAAACATTGTAGATGACCAGTCTATTCAAGTACATGAAGCTTTCCTGTAGAATAAGATCAGATGTCCCGAGAGTGTTCTTTCCTGGGACAAGCCTTGTGTGAGCCTGGGGAAGAAGGTGTTAGTTTAAGAGAGGAGACGCAAGGAAAAAGCTGTACAGGAAGCGCGCTCATCACTAGATGGGAAGGGGGGGTGAATTTAGAGGCCAGCCCGTTTCCAATGGGTCTGGCCCCTGCCCCTGTTAGTTGTTAGGTGCATGCCAGTTGAAATGGAGGTTAGAGAGCCCAGGCTCAGGCATGGTAGGGAAGGAGCCAGATGCGTCCTTGGGGAAGGGCAGGGCAGAGCGCGATTCCCACCTTGCGTTCCACTGGAGACGGGTGGAGGGAGGAGTCAACTGCTCTACTTCCCCGTCCTCCCTGCTGGATGGACTGGTTCAGCTCAAAAGCCTGAGGAGAGGAGGAGCAGAGAGTTAGAGC